ATAGAATTAACTAATTTATCTTAATCAATAAGAGTTCAAAGTACCTTAAAATGTAGACTATCCACCAAGAGATCATAATCGATAACATTCTGTTTGAGATAATTAAAATAAGTTATATGCTAAACAATAAAAAAGAAATAAATGTAATTTTCAAGAGAAAAACAAATGATTTTATACCCAATTGGAAAGGTCAACATCTAACATACTTGACCAAAGTTTTCCTCGTAGACTTGTTGGACAACCACGTCGTGCATATTCTCTTACACCATTTAAATTTGGTTTTTTTTCAAGAACTAAAATTGAATTTAATTATTATTTATTTATTTGATTTTAATTTACTTTGTAATGCTATTTTAATATTTTCTTCTTCTTTAGCTTCATTAAATGTTTCATCAGAACAATATTGAATTATATTTGGACGAAGATCCGAATATAAATTTTTCTATTGAATAGATTTGTTTTTCTTTTTCTTTTTGTTTGTAAATAGAAATTAAACATACAATTTCAACAAAACTTTTTGTTACTAATGGAATTTTAATTAAACCACAGCTAAAAAAAAATAATTAAAAAGAAAAATAAGAAAGAAAATCTAACTTCCAAAGTGATTCATCAATTTTTAAATTTGGATTAACTAATACACAAATAACATCAAGAAAATCTTTTGCCGAATAAACAGGACGAAAACGATTTAAATCTTTAAAATGAAAAAAAAAAATCAAATAAAATAATTCATTGAAATCAAAATAAATAAACCTCCACAAATATGACCAAGTTCATTCCAATGTCTTCTTACGGATCGCATTTCATTTTCATTTCTCTATTAAAATATAAAACAAAAAACAAAAGAAATTAATTTTTTTTTTTTGTTTAAAAATTTGAATGAACTTGTCGTGCAAGTGGTAAATTAACTTCAGTACACATTGTATTTAAACTTTTTACTATTCGTTTTTCCCATGCAGACTAAAAAATATAATAAATAATTAAATAAACTAATCATAGAAATATATACTTGGCCTTTTCTTAAATAATCTATTTCATATTTATGTTCATCAGATGATGATACTGGAGTAGATTTAAATAAATGTTGATAATATTCATATTGATCTTTAGTTAAAAAATAAAATAAAATATTAAAAAAAACTAAAGTTTAATAAAACCTGATTGTTTAATTGTTTTAAGTATAGATTGAAAATCTTCAACAAATTTTCCAGTTGAAATTATTAATTTCTATTGAAAAATATTTATTAAAAGAAAAAAAAATTTTTTTTTAAAAATATACTTGAGTTTGATTTAAAAATGTTTGTTTTAATTTATCATCGACTTTATCATTCATTTTATAATAATCTTAAATAGAAAATATTTCATCGTGAGAATTCTAAAATAATTCATATTAAATATGAATTATTGAACAATTATAGTTGTCAATATTTATCAGATGACGCGTTTTTTGCTTCAAGATTTTCATGATTTAGAAAGTATGAAAATGACTAAGAGTCAACTATGTGTAACATTCGAAAGTTTCGTTTATATTAAAAGTGAAAATTTTCAATATGGAAGATTGTCCATTAATATTTTATGCTAATTTCAAATTACAAGCTATATTATTTTTGTCTGCCAAAAGGAAAATCGATGAGTATGAGATAAACTGATGATAAAGGTGAAGTTTTTCATTATTAAATGTGCTTTTTCAAACGAATAACTATCGATGTTAACTATATGTTCATATAAGATGTTCATCAGTTTGATCATTAATCTATCATAACATGGCGAGTAAAGATGTCATGGTAACGAATAAGGCTGATAAGTAGATACGGACATCTGTTGATCAATGACCTTTATTTATAGAGTCTCTTGATTTTTTCATTGATTTAGGGAGTAAAAATGGCTGATTTGACCGAGTTTATATCATAAATGTTTGTTCTTTTTTAAAACAAATCAAATTAAATTGATTAATTAGAGAGAAAATTCTTGATTAATAGTGATTAATTCTATTTGTGATCATATGCATGCAGAAAAATTGGTTTTTTATTTCTTTCTTAACGTTTAATATAATAAATAATATCTTTTTCTTTTGTTCTAGATCGGTTATATTGTCCACAAGAGAACTAATTGATTTGTAAAGGTTATCAGATTTATTATAAAATTGATAATATGAACGAAGGATTTCGCTTGTAGTTTAGTTATAGACATGTGAAAAGAATGTGTTTGGAATGTTTATTCATTATTATTAGATTTTTTTTTTTGTATAGTAATTTCGAAAAATATTGCTTTTGAGTAGATCTAATTCAAGGTATTTGCTACTGAACTCTGCTCCTATTATGCATATGTTATTTAATTAGTATAACTGAAGAAGAAACATATCGTAAGAAACTGGTTAATTCTATCTAATGAACTGAGTTTCTCTATGAATATCTTATTTTAAAAAATTAATCGTCAAATTCTTCTTCTTCTTCAAAAAAACACAGATTTTCATTTCATAGTTTATTTTTCTTTATTCTGTGTCAATGTTATTAAAATGAATCATTTTATTGACTTAATATTGGTTGGTTGATGTAAAAAGCTGACGTGTACATACACATCATAGTTTTCTTTTTTCTTTCTTTTCTAGATGGCCATTAAATCATTTTTCATTATATTTCTTCTAGGAACAGGTTTGATTTAAAACTTTCTTTTTTTGTTTTTCATTTTTGAAAAAAATTCAAAATAAATATTTTCAATTAAAAAATTAGTAAATACTCAACTTCGATGTAAATTTGATCATCCTATATTGGGTGAATATTATTCATATGAGAATGGTCTTGAAACTCATACATCATTTAAAAAAACTGGTGATATTGATAGACTTTTTTATCGTCGAGAATCAGGTCGTGGTGCTACTGCTAATATAATAACTGTTATTGATAATCAGGCATTTGGTGAATGTCTTTATCTTAATTGGAGAGAAAATCCTTTTCGACATATTTCAAAACATCATTATGAACTTATTTATCGAGATAAGTAAGTTCTGTTTGTTTATTTTTTTTATTAATAAAAATATTTTCTAGAAAAAAATCTTGTTACCAATGTTATGAAATATATAATCGAACACGTAATATTCTTCAAATACGAAAAAGTGAATGTGATGAAGTAACATCAATTTCTACAAATCAAATGAATATTCAAGATCTTTGTTTAACTATTAATGAAGAAGCAGAATTTGATACATTATTTTGTTAGTTATCTTTGGTTTTCTCTTTTAAAATTCATTTTTATTTATTTATTTATTTATTTATTGTAGTAAAAACATATTCAGCTGAAGAATGTCGTGCAACTATTTATGGTACATATCATTTTACATATGAATTTCGTGAAGGTGGAATTGGTATATGTGATAATCCAATATCACGTTTAGTATCTTGTCCTGATCCTGGAACTCCATTTGAAGTTGTTAATGAACGTTTTTGGATGACATATGGTTATTGTCGTGATCTTGTTTCATCAATTGATGCTCAACCACTTTATCAATGTTTAGGTTATTGGATAAATGATAAAGGAGATATATTTACTGGTATAGCTAATGAACGTGTTGGTTCAGAACGTTGGTATGATAAATTTCGTTGTATGTTAACACGAAAAGATCAACCACGATGGTTTGCTAAATCTTTATTTGCTGAATGTTCTCGACTTTATTCACCAACAGATGGACCAGAAAAAGTTATTATAACAGCAATTATACCAGAAGTTCCAACACCAATGTGTTTTTTTCCAGATAATTTTACTGGTGAATGGATAAATACAGCTAATGTTAATGCAAGAACAATAATTAATTCAACACATATACATGAAATATCACGTGTTAATAATCGTGGTTGGTTAAGAGAAACTTATTATGTTTGTCAACAAACATCTCGTAGTCAATATTTAGTTAAATCTGTTACAACAGGAGAATGTTTTCCATATTATATTTGTTTTGATTTTAAAAATCGTCATCATAATATTCTTCGATATAGAAAATCAAAATCATTTATGTCAAATGTTTATGATGATTTAACAAAAAGAGATCCACTTTTTGAAGTTTGTTCATGGATTAGTTTTGGTAATGATGCTAATTGGAAATATCAAGTTTTTGTTTTAAATCCACCAGCACCTATAGAATGTCCATTTACTGGTATGTGGACATTTAAACAAGTTGGACAACCAAATTCATTAATTCATACACGAATTCGTGGTGGTATTACACCTCGACCACGTGATCATGGTTGGTATATTTCATGTGATCCAAAATATATTCTTTCTCAATGGACTATTTGTAAACATGAAACAAAATCTATGTTAGTCGATAGAGAATATTGTCGACAATTAGATCCATATGGAACACCAATAGGTGTTTATGAACAACCAGATTATATATATCAATGTGCTGGTTATTGGAGAGAAGATTCTCGTTCATATTTAATAACATATGATCGTGATGAACCATATATAAATTTTAAATGTTGGGTTTATGAACGAATAGATTTATTTAAAATATATTTATCAAGATCAGCAGGTTCATTTTGTGGTTTTAATCAAACATCTCAAAGTTATACATCAGAAGATGGAGCTGATCTTAAAATTGAACTTGAAGAAGCTGAACGTATTCGTAAGTTATTTATTTTAATTTGGTTTTTATTCAAAAAAAAAAACAAAAAAATTAAAATTTTAGATGATGATTGTCCAATTCGATATGATGATGGTCGAAATCCTTGGCAAATAATTGATGAATTTTTATTTTATTATGCTTCAGGATCAATAGTATTTCCTTCATATTATCTCATAATTCTAGTAATTCTCACGGTTTTCTAATCAATATTTTCACAATATTTTTAATTTTTGTAATTTAATAGTCATTGTTAATCTTTTTTTTTTTTATTCATTCCAAAATTTGAGTAGCAATAATTCACTTTTGTGAAGAAAATGTAAATTTATATTTTAGATAATGTTAACTAAATTTGAATCGAAATCAGCACGTGTGAAAGGTTTAAGCTTTCATAGTAAACGTCCATGGATATTAGCATCACTTCATTCAGGTGTTATACAATTATGGGATTATCGTATGAAAACTTTAATTGATAAATTTGATGAACATGATGGTCCTGTACGTGGTATACATTTTCATAATGCACAACCATTATTTGTTAGTGGTGGTGATGATTATAAAATAAAAGTTTGGAATTATAAAACACGTAAATGTTTATTTACATTATTGGGTCATCTTGATTATATTCGTACAACATTTTTTCATCATGAATATCCATGGATTATATCAGCAAGTGATGATCAAACAATACGTATATGGAATTGGCAATCAAGACAATGTGTTTGTGTTATGACAGGACATAATCATTATGTTATGTGTGCACAATTTCATCCAACTGATGATCTTGTTGTATCAGCATCACTTGATCAAACTGTTCGAGTTTGGGATATTTCAGGTTTAAGAAAAAAAAATGTTTATTCATCACCAGATACAATTCAATCACAAATTCAACGTACTACAGGAACACCAGATTTATTTGGACAAGTTTGTTTGTTTTTTTTTTTGTTCTTTTTAAATAGTACTGTTTTCATTCTTGACTATTAGACATTATTTATTTTCATATTATTCTTAGTAATAGATTTCTATGAGATTAAAAAAAAATGACGAAAAGACTTTGGACCTATATTGAGATTAGGCGTTGGTTATTTTTCGTTATCCATCTTGAATAAAGAGACAATAGATTTGTTAGCAATATTTATATGATAACAATGTCTCAGTATTTATAGAAATTTTGAAACTTATTATCGTACAAAAAAAAGCGAGTGATTCACTTTTGGTATAGAAGATATTAGAACTTGCTTGAGATAGGTGATGACTAGAGCCTATCGGATTCAAAAATCTTCGGATCCGGACCTGATGGGCTCTAGTCATAACTTCTTCGTCTTATCTCAACTTATAGTTATAATAAAAACTGACATGATGTCTACCATAGATGTCCATCGCGGCGATAATCAAAAGCTACCTCGACGCGATGAACTGTAAAAAAAATATTGCCGCTGCTGCAATGACATTCAAAAACATGTTTCGTTTTCCAAGGCCGTGACTGGTTTGAATTAGAACTACTACTGCTAATCGACCAGATTTGCTAAGTTTTACAGTATCACATATATGAACACTGAGATTCTATGCAAATTCATGTATTTTTGGAATTTCTTCCTGAAAAATCTGCCGCTGCCGCGTTGCTATGAACATCTCTAATGTCTAACCATTTTGAACATTCTTTGACGAGCTTGAAGGTCCAATAGTGTTCGTATGTTCGTATAATCGATCTAGATATTCAGCAGTAGACTATGTTCGTAGATGTGTAATGAACCTATGATAAAGACTAGACATTATGCTAACGAGGAAAAGTTCTCAATTGATTCATGCCGCTTTCAATGATATTTTGTTCATGTGTTGGAGATGTTATCCTAAGAGAATTTAGACTGATGGAGTTTTCTTCGACGATTATCGCCATTTTACTGCTTTTTCCATATATAGAAAAATCGAACAATAAAATTTCAATCCGAAATTTCGCAGCCATTGGAACATTCTAAATGTTTTCTTATCGTGATGTTAAATTATTAATCTTAATCGAAGGATGCTCCATCAACCCACGTTCTCTTAGAATAATGTTTCCAACATACAGATAAAATATCATCGTGAATCAGTTGAGGGCCTTTCCTCCTAGGACGAGGCTAATCATCATTGAGAATATATTTTTGTATTTCTAATATCTCTGTGTGTATGTATATAAGATGATTGTTCATCTTTTCGAATAATAATAAATTTTCTTATGATAATATTTAGGCTGATGCAATTGTAAAACATGTATTAGAAGGACATGATCGTGGTGTTAATTGGGCAACATTTCATCCAACATTACCATTAATTGTAACAGCAGCTGATGATCGTGTTGTTAAATTATGGCGTATGAATGAAAATAAAGCATGGGAAGTTGATACATGTCGTGGACATTATAATAATGTATCATGTGTTATATTTCATGCAAGACAAGATTTAATTTTATCAAATGGTGAAGATAAATCAATTCGAGTTTGGGATATGACAAAACGGTTTGTTTTAGTTTTTTTTATAAATAAAATAAAATGATTTATTTTATTTTTAGAGTAGCAATAAATACATTTCGACGTGAAAATGATCGATTTTGGATGTTAACAATTCATCCAACATTAAATTTATTTGCTGCTGGTTTGTTTGTTTGTTTTTTTAAATATAATTTAAATATTTGTTTTTCTAGGACATGATAATGGAATGCTTGTCTTTAAATTAGAACGTGAACGACCTGTCTATGCTGTGGTTGGAAATCTTGTTTATTATGTTAAAGAGAAATATTTACGACGATTAGAAATAACAACATCAAAAGATGTTCCGCTTATGCAATTACGAAGGTAAATTCTATTTTTCTTCTAAGATTTTTGAATGTATTGTTTTGTTTTTTTATTAAAAAAAAAGTGGTCCACGTGCACCATATTATTCAATGTCATATAATCCAGCTGAAAATTCTATTTTATTAACAACACGTGTACCAGCTCAACCAGATACTTCTATTTATGATCTTTATACTATTCCAAAAGATGCTGGTGAATCAGCTAGTTCAGCACAAAATCCAGATGGTAATACTTGTCTTTTTCGAGAAATAGATAACGACAATTAGGGGTTCTTCTCCGTTATTTTGTTGTTTCTGTGAAAAATTTCATTCATAACTTATTCTATTAAAAACTTCTTGGTAGATTTGCAAAGATATTTGAAATGAAGAGAATTAAAGTTAGATTTTTTTTTTATTACGATTTAAATTTCTTCCATTTGATTCTCTTGTCTACGGAGATAAGAACCATTAAATTGAAAGTCAGTCTTGATTTTGATATATATCTTCATAAAGAAAGACTCAATTGACATTTTCTATCCTACAAGATAAAGTGTGGTTACTTATGCCTAGAGTTGTAAGCAGAGCGGCTGAACAGCCTCCGCCACCGACTAGCTAAACCTCTGAAACTGCAGTTGCGGTAGGCAGAAAAAATTTTCCTTTTTCAGTTGCCACCGCCGATCAACTCATTGACTAGCATCTCTATCCATGCCGATCGAAATCTGAGTTTTTTTGCAGTCACACTCACACTTTCTATAGAGTTTATCAAGACTGAAGTCAACGAGAATTTGTATCGAATATATTATCTCAAATTCGTCTGATTCTATGAATTCTATAGAATGTTTCTCTAATCTACTCTGAGCTTTTCTTAACTGAACCGTGCATATTTCTATCATGAAATTAAACTTGTCTTTTGATTGAAGAAAACCATAAAATTTAACACAATAAAAAAAGACAATTAATCATTCACCTTTGAGAACATGTAAAAATGTTGAACTATAATAAAGATTGATAAATTTGATCTATATGACATTTCAAAAATACTAACTTATCTTATCTTGATTGTTTTAACAGTTTGAATTTTTTTTTTCTTCAGCACCTGAAGGTCGTCGTTCATCGGGTTTAAATGCCGTTTGGGTTGCTCGAAATCGATTTGCTGTTCTTGATAAAAATCATGTTGTAAGTTCAAATTTGCTCTGTTTTTTTTTTATTAATTAAAATTGTCTTTGTTTTTTTAGATTTTAATAAAAAATAATAAAAATGAAATAACAAAAAAAATTCAATTAGCAAATTGTGATGAAATTTTTTATGCTGGTACAGGTCTTTTATTAATTCGTGAAAGTGATCATATTAGTTTATATGATGCACAACAAAAACGTTCATTAGCAAGTGTTAGAATAGGCAAAGCTAAATATGCAATATGGTCAAATGATATGAATTATTTATCATTATTAGCTAAACATCAACTTGTTATTTGTAATAGAAAACTTGAACAATTATGTATTATTCAAGAGAATGTTCCTGTTAAATCAGGTGCTTGGGATGATTCAGGAGTATTTATTTATACAACATCAAATCATATTAAATATGCACTTGTTAATGGTGATCATGGAATTATTCGTACACTTGATTTACCTATTTATATAACAAAAATTAAAGGAAATAGTGTTTTCTGTTTGGATAGAGAAGTTCGACCAAGATTATTAACTATTGATCCAACAGAATATAAATTTAAATTAGCTTTAATTAATCGAAAATATGATGAAGTAAGATTAAGAGATTTATTTTCTTTTTTTGTGAGTTACACCCGATTGGGACCTTTCTTAATAGATAAAAGTTTGTCTCTAATAAATGATTACTTATTTTACATATTCTTCACACTTGATAGCATATTCCATACAAATAAGATTACTATCTCTATATTCTTTATAATGAAATTTCCAGCATTGAATTAATATTTTTGTTAATCTTTTGTTTTCATTTTCATATACAAAAATTAAAATATTAATCGAATCGATTCGAATTATATATCTCAATTAAATAAAATATAAACATCGTTAACTTGTAAATTCATTCTAGAGATGATGTACATACATCTACGATGTATTGTTAGAACAATTAAGTTGATAATTGAATATTAAATACAATTTGTGTAAAGACAAATGTAAAGGGGATGTATTCGGAAATGACATTTTTTCTGTGAATTTCAATCGGACTAATTTGTTAGGGACTTGCATGGTTTCAGCAGTGTTTTATCCAGGATAGGAATCGAGGAGATGGCGTTCCTCCGAAGATCAGATTGGTTCTCCCGGCGTTTATGATTCTTGTACCAGATATGGAACCAGCCTAAAAAGGTCAGACTGGACCCGACCAGCCGATAACCAGTGCCAGTTCCGTATCTGCATTCGACGTTTATTCTTGAATTACATAGGACGAGAAAAAGGAGTAGAAAACAATAAAACTGTTCATGTAAAATATAAACAATGTCGTAGTATTAAGACCAATAACGTTTTCAAATAAGTTTATATAATAAAAGTAGGACAGCGAATTAGTTAGACCAGCAACCGATATCGGTTCCACTTCTGTCTTGTACCATGTACTCTAGTGCCCACCGGGTGTAAAATTCTCCGGATTCGGTCGAACCGTACTTAGACACTGTCAATGGAATTTTCTGGTTGGAATTGAATAGTCGTCCAAAAGATACGAGATATTTCTTTTTAAGGTTTTTTTTTTATATTCGGTGACTAGCGCGTATGCTACACATTTCTCAGGTGACTAGATGAGTTTTAAATCGTCCTTCCACAAGGGAAAATCTGGATAACGCTATGTCCCAGTTGATAAGTGTCCTTTTTTTAGTTTTATTTTTGATATATTTTAAAAATCTGTTCAGGTACTTCATATGGTTCGAACAGCAAAATTAGTTGGACAAAGTATTATTGCTTATCTTCAAAAGAAAGGTTATCCGGAAGTAGCACTTCATTTTGTAAAAGATGAAAAAACAAGATTTGGATTAGCACTTGAATGTGGAAATATTGATGTAAGTAGTATTTTGTTTTTGTTATGTTTTGAAACTATTTTGAATTGTTTAGATTGCATTAGAAGCTGCTCGAGCTTTAGACGATAAACGTTGTTGGGAAAAATTAGCTGAAGTAGCTTTATTACAAGGAAATCATCAAATTGTTGAAATGGCTTATCAACGAACAAAAAATTTTGATAAATTAGCTTTTCTTTATTTAATTACAGGAAATCTTGAAAAATTAAGAAAAATGATGAAAATTGGTTAGAAACATTTTTATTTATTTATTTTTTTTATTTGAAAAATATTTTATTTAGCTGAAGTACGAAAAGATGTTAGTGGACAATTTCAAATCGCAATGTTATTAGGGGATGTTGAAGAACGTGTTAAACTTCTTAGACAATGCAATCAAAGTAATTATTTAATATATTTTTTGTTTATGAAATAAAATTATTAAATTTTTTTTCTATTAAAATAGAATCACTTGCTTATGTTATGGCAGCTACACATGGTCTTGATGAACAAGCTGAACAATTGAAAGAATCTTTTGATGAAAAAGTAATTTTTGGATTTTTATACAACATATTCTTATGTTGAGAGTTTCTACCATTACGATTGGAATTAACTATAAACTCCTACTCGTAATAGAAGATTTCGGCTTGTCTATTATATCCAAACGTAACAATTTTTCAACGAGTCTTTTATTGTACCTCATTTTTTTTAAAATAATTTTTATTTAAATGAGTTTTAGAAAATCAAAACGTTTTTGAAGATTTATGAAGAGATTTTTAAAACTCAGAAAATTAGATGTCTTGAAGTTTTAATTTATTCAAAAATTAAATTATAAAATTTCTTTCGACATTTGAAATTAAGAGTTTTCTTTAATGGACTGAAAAAAATGTAAATATCATTGTGATAACATTCTGAGTATGCTCTTTCTCTTTGTTTCGAGTACGTATATTCAATCGTCAATTAGAAAAAAAAAAACATCGAATTGAAAAATTGAAGAAGATTAGTAGACAGTGATAAAATGGTCTTATTTATATGAAAGCCCGATTTCGAGGTCTGATTGGCATCCATCGGATTCAGATCTAAAAATTTTGAATCAACCGAGTCCAGGACAAACAAATTTTAATCAGTTGGATCCAGCCCAAAAATTCCTGGGCCCGATGGGCTCTATACTCATGTCGCATGTATGTTCGCACTGCCATCAGGGGTGCTATCGACTTTCGGTACATGCTATAAACGAATGTAGAGAATATTTTCTAGTTAAATTCGAATTATTTATTAGAAAGAAGTCAAACTAACCGAGAAGAAAACAATTTCAGAATATATTGTACTAATAAAAATTTTTGCTGTGTCATCTATCATAAAATTTTATCTCATAGTTGGGATCGATTTAGGCTCTGCGATTAGTACAGGTGACTTAAACTCATTGACATTCTCAACGCGCATTGAAAACGGCACAATTCTGTCAGTTTTAATAGACTTATCCTTGGGATACAATACTTTCAAAAAACGAACAGGCGGTAGTTATCACATAGTTAGACTGATAAGCATAGACTTTGTACGACCAACAAAGTCATCAATACGAGTTCTTTCTATAATTACACTTTACTACTGTGATATTGACTAGAAAATAATAGAAACAAAATAGACAGATATTGAATCGATATCAATTTATGTTTAAATAAAAATATTTTTATATTATAGATACCTGAAGTAAATCCAAATGCTGAGTTAATATTACCACCATGTCCAATAAGTCAACAAGAATCAAATTGGCCATTATTAGCTGTATCAAAAGGATTTTTTGAAGGTGCAATGATTAAAGGAAGTCAACCAACAACAACAACAACAGGTTTATCATCAAATATAACAACAAAACTTGCTGCAAATGTTGCTATTGATGAAACAGTAACAAGTGGTGGAGATTGGGCTGATGAAGAAGTACAAATGGAACTTGATGAAGATAATATTAATCAAGGAAATCTTCATGCTAATCAAGATGAACAAGGTGAAGGTTGGGGTGATACTGATATTGAATTACCACCTGATCTTGTATGTTTTCTTTTTTCAATATAAAACGCCAAAAAAACAAAAAACGATATATTTATTTATCTTTCTAATTAATAGGAAGGAACTGGTGTAAGTGGTGGAGCTGGTGATGAAGAAGATGCAAGTGGATATTTTGTAGCACCAACAAAAGGTCAATCAATTCCACAAGCTTGGATACAAAATTCAAAATTAGCTGTTGATCATATATTAAGTGGTTCATTTGAATCAGCAATGCGTTTATTACATGATCAAGTTGGAATTGTTAATTTTGATGAATATAAACAAATATTTATTCAAATATATTCACGTTCACGTACAGCTTTTACAGCACTTCCATCATTACCAGCATTATATGCATATCCATTAAGAAATTGGTTTGTATAAAAAAAACGTTTTTTTTTCTTTTTGGAATTTTTCTTTGTTTTCTTTTATTATTTAAGGCGTGAAGCACATTCACCAAAATTATTTTATCCAGCTATTGGATTAAAATTAGAAGAATTAGTTGCACGTCTTCAAATAGCTTATCGTTTAACAACAAATGGAAAATTTCAAGAAGCTGTTGATAAATTTCGTTCATTATTATTATTTGTTCCATTACTTGTTGTTGAATCACGTCAAGATATTCTTGAAAGTCAACAATTAATTGAAATATGTAAAGAATATATTGTTGGATTACAAATGTCAATGGCTAAAAAAGATTTAGCTAGAGATGATGAAAAACGTTCATGTGAATTAGCTGCATATTTTACTCATTTACAATTACAACCAATACATAAAATAATGACATTAAGATCTGCACTTAGTCAAGCATTTAAATTAAAAAATTATAAAATTGCTACAAGTTTTGCTAAACGTTTATTGGAATTAGGACCAACACCTGATGTTGCTCAACAGGTTTTTATATTTTTTTCAATATTTTATTTCATTTCAAATTGAATCCTTTCGTGTTGGAACATTAGACTAAAGAATTTGATTCGATTTAGAGAATACAAATCTGTAATAACACGAAAATGTCGATGCTACTTCTCTCTATAATTACAGTCAATTAATGCAATGAAAACGAGTTCTAAAGGTCCAAAAATATAAACGCATTCGATTTGATATATCGATCAATCATCAGTACTTAAGGACCATCCCTCAGAATCGATTTATCACTTAGAACGGACCGTTTGAGCCGGGAATTTACAGTTATGAGTGATTCTAGTTAGAAGATCAATATGTCATACTAGACTAAACTTCCAGTTTGTATATGTGACTTCCAGGAGAATCGTTATAAGTTCGTCACCATAAGAGGTATGAAGCTCGGGCTAGTTTCAAATAATAGCCAACCTCTGTGCACAACTTTTGAAATTTCCTTCTATTCATTTTTTTTATGAGCATTTTAATAGATATGGTATTCACAAAAAAGGTAACCCTGACGATACTAAATTCCATTTTTCTCAGACCAGGAATTCAATATAACAAAATCTGGTTAAACAAAAGTTTACTCTCATTGAGATCTTTAAAATAGAACAAAAAAATATTGGTTATACATTGAACGAGGTAGAAGTCATTTCAATTTTTCTGTCTGGAAATCATGTTTTGAGAAAAACGCTAAAGAAATTTTAGAAATGAATTTTTCCATTCAAATCCAGAAAAAAATCATATTACAATTTCAATATTTTAAATAGATTTCAGTGGACTGTTTTAAAGAACGTAAAACATGAAGATAGCTAATGGAATCTACCATGCTGGTTAATATAAAAATGCTCTATTCAATGCTAATGCAAATGACAACACAGTTGGATTTTGAGAGGAAGGAGGCCTTCTTAGGAATGCAACGATGAATGCATGATAAAACTATGCTGGTCTTCAATTGATTACGATCGAGGAGGACATTTCAAGAAAACAGCTGATTTTTATAAAAAATAGAGTAAAAACGGCTTTCATGTTTCACGAATCCGAATCTATAGGAAGTTTGTCGAAATGTTCGTTTGAAAAAAGGTTAGTTCTCACGATTTATTTATATGTTATAAAATAGAGTTATTTTCTTGAAATAGTCTATACGTGCATGTGTAGACCAATGCAGAGCTCTATCTAAGACTAATACACCGCTATTTTAGGGGTGAACCAGTGCATCAGTATATGCCAGTACCAGTAATCATCATTATTGCTGCACTCCTACAAGTACTAATTTCATCGCTGATACAAAAGACAGTCGTCAAATTGTCACTCACAATAATTTTTAGCGATGGGAATAAATAGAAAATTTTTCTTCAGGCTTCTTGGTAATAACGAGTCAGTTGATCTATTTACATACTTCGACAGTCTTCTATTACAGAGACACTTCCGGTGTTGTCTTTACATAGAAATTATTATAGTTTCTCTCATCTAGTAATGAAATAGTCTTTTATTAAACAAATCTATAATGCACTCGACTATTTTTAAATAAAATTAAATTGATGTATGATTTTTATTTGTATATAAACTAGTTCGAGACATACAAAAAAAACAATCTTGATCCGTAATTCTTCATGTTTTTCGATTCCTTGACAAACAATCGAATGTATTTTTTTTTGTTAAATGAAGAATAATTCTTTAATAACTAAAGTCTTCTTATTTAAAACTAGAATATTTTTATAATAATCTACAAATTTTTTATCTTATTTAGACACGAAAACTATTAAGTGTTTGTGAAAAAAATCCAGTTGATGAACATCCATTAAATTATGATGAATATAATCCATTTGATATATGCGCGGCTTCCTATGTACCAATTTATCGGTAAGAAAAAAAAAAGAAAGAATTTTAATTAAAATAATCTTTAATTCTTTTTTAGTGGAAACCCAATAGTGAAATGTCCATTATCCGGTGCAGCTTATTTACCGGAATTTAAAGGACAATTATGTCGTGTTACAAAAGCAACAGAAATTGGAAAAGAATCTCTTGGTCTTAGGATTTCAATGAGTCAATTTCGTTAAAGGAAGAAAAAAAAAAGAACGATTTCTTTTTTTAATTTTATTTCATTATTAATAACTTTTAATGGGTATATTTATCATTTTTAAAGATTAACTTATCATTAGAACATTTTTCTTTTATTTCAAGATCATTCAATTGTTGTTGTTATTGTTCATTCTTCATCATTTTTTTTTCTCTCTTTGAAAACAAAATTAACTAAAATTTGTTTTATCATCATAAAATTAATCGAAATTATTCGTTTGTTTTTTTTGTCATATAACCATCTAAACGATACAATTTTTCAAAGATAAATTATGATAAAGATCTCCTTTCGTTAACATTTTTTCAAGAAAATTTGCTTCTCAGAAAAGAATACAGAATCAATGCATTTATTTCAAATAAAATCAACAAAGTATTTCGATGTATAGAACAATGTCAATACAACTGAGAAAATTTTTGATGATTAAATAAAATATATCGATATACTTCCATTCAATATTCAACTCGTGATTAGTTCTTTTTATATGAATTTTATCCGATTTCAATAAGCAGAATTGATCACCGGATCGAATTTACATAAGAATAGCTTGTAAGCAGCTTTTATTTAACTAGATTATTCCAATTCATTCAACTATAAGTTATCAAACATTTATTCAATATTAATACCGATAGTCTTTTCTTTATCAACTTAAGTAAATATATTTAGATTGGAAACAATCGGTAGAAATTATAATGAACGATTTTACAAACAAGAAAAAAAGAAGAAATTTGATTCATTATCAGATTGACGAAAATCCTAAATGACATGTATACCTATTAACGATTTAGAAATATCCACTTTATAAAGGTTACATTATATAATCAACCCATTGATAAGAATTCTAGATAATCAAATATATAAAAAAAACAAATACTTCTGATGCATGTTTTTATAATTAAACAGAACGATTTATTAAAATAATAAAGAAAAAATTTTTCTCATCGTATTTTATTCTAACAAATAGAAACGAAAATGATTCAAACTTGTATAATGAGAGAGAATTTTTCATTATAAAAAAAAAATAAAATTGATTTTATTTTTAGTTTATTTTCTATAGATTAAATAAAAATTAAAATGGAAAATAATAATAATAATAATAATGATGATGATGATGATGATGACTTTCCACTCAATGGTTTATTTTCCCCAATAGAAAAAATCTTTGCTGATTTTGATCGATTTTTCTCTGGTTTTTCAACTATATTTTCAATTCCTTCACAAGATTTTAATAATGATAATCCTCAACCATCAACAAGTTTAAGAGATGAAGTTCTTAAACAAGATGTTCAAAGTAAAACAAAAAAAAACAAAACAAATATTTTCTTTTTAAATTAATTTTTTGTAGATAATTATTATAGTGATGAAAATCTTGATTCTACTATCGAAAAACATGGTCTTAATGGAGCATTTCCAAGAACATTTTCAAGTTCTTCAATGATAACAACAATGCATCGAGAAACAACGCCATCGGGAAAATGTATTATTGAAAAAAAAATTCAACAATCATCAAATCAAAATGAAAATAACAAAACTGAAGCAATAAGTAAAATATGTGGAGATAAATATCATACAACAATAAAACAAGATGGAAAAATTATTCGAGAATATGGAAATTCAACAATAGATGAATTAGATCAAATTGATTCATCACCAAATAATAATAATAATGATGATGATGAGCCAATTATTGGTGGAAAAAGACATTCGAATTTTTTTAAAAAACTTTTTTCTTAAATCAAACATCTTCGATCAATAATTGGTTGAAAATAAATAAGCGAACATCTTATGTTAGCTTTTTTTGTTTTGTTTTGAAACATATCTATTTCTCTTTTCTTTTTGTACTTAATATTTTATTTTTTCCGTTTTATCAAAAGTGAGTATCTCTTCCGATTGAGAATAAACTTGTCGACAACAATATCATTTTTCTCAACAACGACAGAAAAAAAAAAAAAGAAAAAAAGGTGTCAATTCACATCGGACGAGCATCCGACAACTTACAACAACTAGAAAAAGATTCCTTTTTTTTCTCTGCTCTTCATTTACAATTTACTCACATAAAAGAATATCGATTTAATCTTGTTATTGGTTTCTTAGAAACGATTTACAAATATTTCAATATCAATCTTTCACATATGGTAAGCTGGTTAGGCACATTGGATGATATATTAGTATCATTCATTGAGAAAAAAAAAAGTTTTCTTTACTTGACATTCGGGAAAAAAGAAAGAAAACTGTCACTAACAGAAGACTTTCCTTTTCTTGCTATTCTCATTAGTCATGGAGTAACATTGTTAAATAGGATATTAACGGAAGCGAAGAAAAGCATTGTGAAAATTAAGAAAGTTATTTTTCTCTCTTTCGTCTGACTCTTCTTTTTCTTTTATTTTCATTGATTCATTAAAAAGGATTGGCTGGAATAGAAAACGAGATTCTCTTCTTCTTCTTCTTTTTTTTTTCTTCTTCTCATCATCAAAATGAAGACTATAGAGAACAACAAGAAAAAGTTGATGATTAAGGACTATTACCTATGGAAGCGAAGTGAAGCACATTATTTAATTGGCCTCACGAGAACTAAAGAGTGTTCAATTTTCGATTATTTATTTAAAGAAAAACAAAATAGAGAATTTCTTTTTTAAGATTTGTTTTTTTTTGCTTCTCAATGAGTAACTTTTTTAATGACATCAACTGGTGGAAATCTCGAAAAACGATTAGATCTTGTTCAAAAGACATATCATCTTCAAACATCAAACAACAATATTGAAAATTCTCCGCCAAATCGTCCTGTAGTTTCAAAAGTGTCTAATCATCATCCATCTCGTAAAACGTCTGTTCACGACGTACACGAAGCTAATAATGATCAATTTAATAAGGTAAAATTGTTATTTTTTTTCTTTTCTTTTTGAAAAATATTGATTATTTTAATTAATATTTAATATAGACAATAGGAGAAATACATGAAAGTCTTGCTCGTTTAAATGGTATATTAGAAACAATGACTGGCGCTGCTTCTATTCGAGACGAATTTGGAAAAATAAAACTTCAATTAATTGTAAAAATTGCCGATTTTATTTATAAATTAACAAATGATGCTACAAGAAGGTCATTTCGATTTATTTAATTAATTTCAATAAAAAAATAATGTTTATTTTAAATAATATTTTAGATCATCAAATGGTTTGAAAGGAAGTGCAACTAATTTAACATATAATCCTCAACATATAGCTTATTGTGTTGAATATTTTCGAAATCAACTTATAAAAGCTAAATATTTATTTTCATCATTAACTTTATCAGCTTCAATTGGTTCATCTACACTTGAAAATATTATTGTTAAATCTCTTTCTACACTAAATCTTCAACAGACATCATCAAATACTCAAGATGCACATAATATTGAAGATATTCTTGGAATAAAAAAGTATTAATTTACATGCGGAAATGAATTAATATAAATAAAATTCTTCATTTAGAGATATTTCAAATTTAGAAGAATATATAGGTCTACTTAATCAACGTTATGCAAATCGTATTGCAGATTGGCAAACATTAGGTTAGTTTCTTTTTTTTGTTTTTGTTTGTTCCCATAGTAATTTCTTTTTTTTTTCCTCATTTTTCTTTTTAAATAGAAGATGTAGCAGGAGGAACGACAACGATGACAGGAGAGGAAAAATTGCAGGCTACTAATGCTGGATTTAATACTCAACGATTAGGAATAACTCCAACGACACAAAAATTATCAGCAACATCATCGACAACATCCATTGAACGTTCAAGTTTTTGTGCTCGATTATATCAAAAATGTCAAATTGTTTGTTGCATTTGTACGCCAAATTATTTGTAACATTTTATTTATTCCGTTTGTGAATTGAAAATTTTTATTTAATCGATGCAGGCATCATTATTATCTTCTTTTCTTTTATATCGTCATCTTGTTGTTTCTTTATGATGATCAAATCAAAAAAAAAAAAAAAAAAAAAAAAAAAACGAAAGAAATGATGATTATTTTCTTTTTATCTGAAAGAAAGAAAATATTTGACATGAAAGATATTTTTTCTGAGAAGTTTTTCTTATTAAGATGTATTATTTCTTTTTCTTTTTGTGTTTCTCAATCTAATTAATCAAATGGATGATTCTTCAGATGACAGATCATTCAGATTAACAGATTTTCAAGATTTTTAAAAAGAAAACAAAATGTAGGTGTTTATTACAACCATTTCTAATCGAATAAAAACTTTTATCACTTTCTGAATTATATTTGATTTTTCGATATATCCTATCATTATACATGTCCTCAATTATATCAGATAGAAATGTTTATTAGGAGGAAATGTGGATGAAACTCGTGTTTCCGTCTTAAATTTGAAAGGTGATGTTATACATAAAATTAACTAATATTAATTTCCTATACTGCTGGATTATGCACATTATTTACAGTATGTCAAATATGAAAGAACAAAAAATTTTCTAACCGATCTTGTTTATCCCTGGAAAGAAGATTCATAATTATGAAATTAAAATGTAGACCAACACATTTTCTTTATTATACATTTTTACAATCACTAATGGATAAAAATGAAATTAAATAAATAAAAACGTAATTGCAGTAAAATCGTCTTAAAAATGATTGTGAAAATAGTTTTCAAATTTTGGAGACTAGCAACAAATGAATAGGAAAATAGGCTCTTCTTTAATTAAAAAAGATTCTCAGGGCAACACCCTAGACGGTTAAAATGTGAAACTTACGTGTATTCTTTACCTTTGTTATACTAATACAAAGTACATCAAGTGGAAAATCTCTAACAGGCTATAGTTTTTTCTCCAAGGATAATCAATCACCAGGGAAACAGCTTGCCTTATTTATTTTTGCGTTAAGAACAGAATTTTTTTCTTTTTATACTGGCGCTCTATTTTTTGTTTGCCTTGCTGCTATTCTCTCGTTATTCTCCAGTTTCCTTTCCAGTTTCTCTTAATGTAATATTATTA